CCTCACAACTGGACCAACAAGCAACATCATGATAAATGGAGAAAAGACTGAAGTTGTCAAGGATTTCATTTTACTTGGATCCACAATCAACATCCATGGAAGCAGCAGTCAAGAAATCAAAAGACACACTGCACTGGGCAAATCTGCTGCAAAAGACGTCTTTAAAGTGTTAAAAAGCAAAGATGTCACTTTGAGGACTAAGGCTTGCCTTGACCCAAGCCATGGCATTTTCAGTCACCTCTTATGCATGCAAAAGCTGGATAATGAATAAGGAAGACAGAAGAAGAATTGATGCCTTTTAATTACGGTGTTGGTGAAGAATACTGAATATACCATGGGCTGCCAAAAGAAAGAACAAATCTGTCTTGGAAGACGTACAGCCAGCACACTCCTTAGGTTAGTTTTAATACTTATGAATTTCATTTCAGGATAGTAAAAGGCAGTGTTAAAATATTTGTTACAAAATGGTCTGATAATGGTTGAATGCCCCTGGTACACTAAAAGTCAAGAGTCTTCACAGACAAACTGAACCCTGGCTCTCCCTAGCTGTGTGACCACATGCACATTAAAAGCAGTCTTGAAGGCTCATCTTCATCTTTTACCTAGTAGAGACATTCTGAGAATTAAATGAACTCGGTCATACAGGGCACACAGCTATCCAATAAAAAGAAAAACCAAAATTATGTTTCAATTATTATTAAAAAGCCATTACTAACTACCCCTGACTTGACTTTTTTACTTCATATACCCAGCAAAATCATCTCTCATATGATGGTGAAATTAGGACACTCTCAGATAAACAGAAATAAAGGGAAATTGTAAAAACCAGACTATCCTTAAAAGAAATATTAAATGGATTTAAAAAAAAAAAGACCCATCAATATGTTGCCTACAAAAAGACATAACTTACACACAAAGATATAAATAGGTTATAAATCAAAGAATGGAAAAAAATACTGTCATGCAAACAGTAACCAAAAAATGCAGGAGTGGCAATATTAACCTCTGTTAAAATAGACTTTAAATCAAAATCCATCATAAGAGACAAGGAAGCGCATCATATGATGATTAAAGGGTCAATCCACCAAGATGACACAACCATAATAAATATCTAAGCAGCCAATGACAGAGCTCCAAAATACATGAAACAAACTCAACAGCACTGAAAAGAGAAATTGACAGTTTCACAATAATAGATGTTAACACACCACTTTCGATGAATGACAGAATAGAAACTAAACCAACATACAGAAGGTCTAAATAACACAATTAACAACTTGACCTCACAGACATACAGAACATCCCACCCAACAGCAGCACAGTATACATTCTTCACCAACGTACATGGAACGTTCTCCAGAATATACCATATTTTAGGCCACAAAGTAAGCCTCAAGAAATTCAAAACTACGGAAATAATACCAAGCATCTTCTCTGACCACAACACTACAAAATTAGAAATGAAGAACAGGAAGAACAGGGAAAACAAACACATGGAAACTGAATAATAACACCTTGTTGAAAAACTGCTGGGCAACAGAAGAAACTATAAATGAAATTTTAAAAATTCCTAGAATCAAATAAGAATGAAAAGATAACATACCAAAACCTGTAGGACACAGCAAAAGCAGTGCTCAGAGAAATTCACAGTAATACACACATTAAAAAAGAAAAGACCACAATCATCAGCTTAACCCTACAACTCAGACAAAAGAAAAAGAGCAGCAAAAGAAGTACAGTTACCAGAAAAAAAGGAAATAACAAAGATCAAAGCAGAAACCAACAACCATGGAAGCAGCAGTCAAGAAATCAAACAACGCGTTGCACTGGGCAAATCTGCTGCAAAAGACTTCTTTAAAGTGTTAAAAAGCAAAGATGTGACTTTAAGGACTAAGGTGTGCTGACCCAAGCCATGGTGTTTTCAATCACCTCCTACGCATGTGAAAGCTGGACAGTGAATAAGGAAGACCGAAGAAGAACTGATGCCTCTGAGTTACGGCTGGCGAAGAATACTGAATGTACCATGGACTGCCAAAAGAATGAACAAATTTGTCTTGGAAGAAGTACAACCAGAATGCTCCTTAGAGGTGAGTATGGCAAGACTTCATCTCACATACTTTGGACATTGTTATCAGGAGGGACAAGGCCCTGGGGAAGAACATCATGCTTGGTAGAGGGTCAGTGAAAAAGGAAGACCCTCAATGAGACAGACTGACACAGTGGCTGCAACAATGGATCACGAGGATGACGCAGGACCAGGCAGTGTTTCGTTCTCTTGTACATAGGTCACTATGAGTCAGAATGGAATCGACAGCACCTAACGTGGACAGGTAATCAGCAAAGGGTCAAAATCCATTCATTAAATGGGGAAGAGATAGTCTCTTTAACAAACGATACTGGCAAAACTGGATATCCATTTGCAGAAAAATGAAACAGGATCCGTATCTCACACCACATACAAATACTAACTGAAGATAGATCAAAGACCTAAACATAAAACCCAAAACCATAAAGACCACAGAAGAAAAACAGCGGCAAACCTAGGAGCCCTAATTTATGACATAATCAAACGTAACTAAAAAAGCAGAAACAGCAGAAGATAAACTAGACGATTGAAACCTCTTGAAAATCAAATACGTATGCTCATCAAAAGACTTCCAAAAAGAGGAAAAAGAGAAAATTTTTGCCTATGACATATCTGACAAGGGTCTAATCTCTAAAATTTATGGAAAACAACTCAGCAAGAAAAAAGACAACTCAGTTAAAAAATGGGCAAAGGACAAATACATGAAGAGATGCTCTTGATCATTAGCTATTAGAGAGATGCAAATCAAAACTACAATGAGATACCATCTCACACCGGTAATAATGGCACTGATGAAAAAAAAAAGAAAACAAATGCTGGAGAGGCTGTGGGAGGATTGGAACTCTCATATACTGCTGGTGGGAATGTAAAATGGTACAGCCAGTATGGAAAACGATATGGTGCTTCCTAAAAAGCTAGAAATAGAAATACCATGATCCAGCAGTCACACTCGTAGGTATATATCCTAGAGAAATAAAAGCTGTGACACAAACAGACATATGCACACCCATGTTCACTGCAGCATTATTTACAATAGCAAAAAGACGGAAACAGCCTAAGTGCCCATCAGCAATAGAATGGATAAACTGTGGTACATACACACAATGGAATACCACGCAACATTAAAGAATAACGATGAATCCATGAAACATCTCACAATATGGATGAACCTGAAGGACCTTATGCTGAGTGAAGTCAGTCAGTCACAAAAGGACAAATATGGTATAAAACCTCTATTATAAAAAGTCAAGAAAAGATTATAACACAGAAATACTCTTTGATGGTGACCAGAGTTTTGGGTGGGGGAGCTAACTAGATAGTAGACATGTACTAAATTTGGTGGAGGGAGAGATAATACATAATATGGGGGAAGCCAGCAAAACATAATCAAGGTAAAGGAAGACACTGAAAGGTACCCAAGAGTAAAAGGCAACAATGGTAAACACCGATACACATACAATCCTGCAACAACAGTAAAAACAAACAATAATATACAAGTAGATACATAGGTAGATATGTAAGCTGAGCAGGGGTGGAAGGGCATATGGAAGTACACCCACGTACATACATATGTGTATA